AAACGTATCGTCCACTCCTGCTCACTGTGATTGACCCACCAGCTGCGCTGACAGGAAGGGTTGTTAGCACCTCATTAACCTAAGGGAAACGGAAGGAAAAGTACCATGTGATTTCCACACAATGCGGCCATAGGACACTTGTAAGGGAGAAATGAGCAATAAAATTGACTCATTCACTGCAACTATTACTATGTTAAATAGTGACATAAGTTTCCAGAAAGTTTGTCTCTCAGAGCAAGTTGTCCAGTTGTAACACCGAAACCTCAGGCAGGCTCCTGGTGCCCGCTGCAGACGGTCCCTTTAGACCGTCTTGATATAGTGTTTGAAAGACCAGGAGTCACGGATTCCTATTAAACGGAGGAGAGTGACAAACGGTTCCCTGTACAGAAGGACACAGAGCAAAGCTCAATCCCGATGTGGAATCCCCCTACTGAGGAAATGCTCCTTACCAGCACTTGGCTCGGATGGTTTCTGAGAATTTCTATGTGTTGTCCATAAACCTCCACCAGGACTTTCTGCACATAGGACACCGTGGGGTTCCCTCGATGCTCGTTCTTGGCTTCTACGTTGAAATAAGGCAGAGAGCTGGAGTTGTGGCACACTTTGGCCAGCGTGTAGGTGCAGATCCCCATGAAGTGGTGAGTCTCTCTGTCAAACGTGTTGTAATGAGGGTCGTTGTGGACTCTGCAGATCCCGTAAGTCTCACGGTAGCAGCCAGGTTCTCCGTTCTGAACCCCACAGTAATGATCGGCTGGGCAGGCTGCGTTAGAGCAGGTTACTTTACTCCCCCGAGAGGGACATGTGCATTTAGAGGAGCAGGTGTCATCGGTCCAGAATTCAGCGCCAACAGGGTAGTGTTTGCCATTGTGCCAGCACCCGCACTGACTGCTGGGGACACAGCCATCGTTGTAGAGGAGATAGCCGCTGTCGCACACGCATCCTTCCACACACGGCAGGCTGCAGCTGGCAGGAGCCATCGGGTTGACACAGGTGGCAGGGCAGGCTGCCGTGCATGCTTCATAGTGACTGTTGGGGGCGCAGTCAATTGCTGCAGAAAACAAAAGCTTTGTAATTAGATCAGGAAGTATTATACTAATCAGTGCTCTTTCCTACCTGATCACATGCCAGTTATTTCATACGCAGTGCCATGATATGCCAGATTCCGTTCTACTTAGTTACGGTATCAGCTGCACCCACTGATGCTATGTAGGTTTCTCGGAAATGGAAACTCCCAAGGTTCTACTGCAACTGCCGAAGAGCATGATGCCCAATGACACCTAAAACAACGAGTCAGCACGTGCAATGCTTTCCAATTGCCCTGGGTCCAAACCATTTCGTTTCTTGAGCTATGAAAGCCATTCCAAACACGCGTACGAAACGGGCAGTGGAAAATCTCACGTTTGCTTGTACTTACGACAGAAGGTAGCATTCCTCCAGGCATCTATCTGAACTCCACCTGACCGACAGGCATCCGCATAAGACTGCAGACTCTTGCAGAGGGAGTCGGGATCCATTTGCAATTCACACTGGTCATAAAAGCAGCTGTTGAAGTAAATGGTAGGATCTAGCACCCGGTGGCACTTTTTAAAGGGGCCATTCACATCTGTCAGGAGACCACAGAAAGCACTGCTGGCAATGATTTGCTTATCACTCTCGTCGCACACTGGATCATGGCCCGTTCCTGGAAGACAACTGAGAGAAAAGAGAGAAGCCCTTGGTTTGTTGGGTGGCTTTCCCTTGACATTTGATACTTATCAGAGAATTCCCCATCCCCCATGAGAGCTACAAACCTGGTGTGGTTGGAGACCTGCCAGCTGTTGCCAAGGCTGGTAGAGTCTGGCTCCAGCACCCCATCTGGATTCAGAAAGTCGTCTGCTGCGTGCCCGTTGTAGTTCCCACACATCCCACAAACCTTCTCTTTAAAGGAGCTCAGAAGGGTCACTTCCACTCGATGGTTCCCATCAAACTTCACGGTCAACCCAAAGTCTGTGCTGACCACGACATAAAGCCCGCTGGAGGAGATTTGCACACCCGGCAATGGTGCAAAGGGGATGATAATCTCTCCCTTTCCATTTACCTAGACACGAAGAAGGTAAGCCCTGCGTGTAAATAAATGATCTTACAAGCTCATTCTCAGCAAGCTACTCAGCCCCCCTCCCTGCACCTACCTTCACGACTCCCCCTTTCTCTAGTGTTATCCTCAGGTCATGAACATCAACATCCACATATTGGACGTAGGACACACGAGTGTTGCCTCCTCTGTGTTCGTTTGCTGCTTCCACATTGAAGTAGGGCAGCGTGCTGTTCCCATCACACAGCTTGGACAGGGTGTAGGCGCAGGTCCCCATGAAGTGATGGGTTTGTTTATCAAAGGTGTAGTAGTGAGGGTCCCCTGCCACCACACAGGATTCTGGGGGCCAAAGCACAATAAATCACAGCTTTACTTCAATCACTTCCACCACGGCTTCTCATCCTGTTAGAGTCGGACAACTAGTTTTGGAAACATTCGTTCCAGGCCTGAGCTTTTTATCGGCCCCCAGCCATCATGATTAGAATACTTTCTATTACATGTGCTGCCTGGATTTCCTGATGGGAATTGTGCTATTCACCTAGAGAGACAAGATTTGAAGGCCAAGACTATAACAGGGTTCAAACAAGAACTAGATAAATTCATGGAGGATAAGTCCATCAATGGCTATTAGCCAGGATGAGCAGGGATGGTGTCCCTAGCCTCTGTTTGCCAGAAGCTGGGAATGGGAGACAGGGGATGGATCGCTTGATGATTACCTGTTCTGTTCATTCCCTCTGGGGCACCTGGCATTGGCCACTATCAGAGACAGGATACTGGGCTAGATGGACCTTTGGTCTGACCCAGTGTGGCTGTTCTTACGTTCTTATGTTAAGAGGGGTGAGGTAATATCTTTTATTGGACCAACTTCTGTTGGTGAGAAAGACAAGTTCTTGAGTATAAACAATGCTCTCTTCAGTTCTGCCAGACTAACTCACAGTGTCACTGTAGAATAGAAGGTGAAATGTCCAACACTCATCTCTCTCACTAACAAACGTTATTCCAATAAAAGATATAACCTCACCTCCTTTGTCTCTACAATATCCTGGGATCGAGACGGCTACAACCACACTGTTATTCACCTAGATGATTTCTACGCCTTTGGAACACGTTTTGCCTTCACATTTATTTAGAATAGGAGCAGAAGAGCTGTGTGGAATCTGACGATCAGTGTGACATGCCAATTAATTGTCATTTATGTCAGAGAAATTCACCTGAACTTAGCGACGGAGGTGACGTGGTTGTCACTGGAGAAGTGGGAGTAGTGATTGATGTGGGGCTCACTGTTGTTGTCGGTCCATCTCCTACAATGAGACAACGTTATAGAAATTTGCTGTAATTCACATCTTCTTGGTCCAGACAATGGTAACCTTGACCATTATCACCAAGTAGCCCTGTCCATAAAAACAGGAACTCTGACGTGATGCACTGTACCTGGGCAATATCCGTCTACGAGAGATACATCATCCACTGCTACGTCACTGCGGAAATCTTCACCCCGCATCCCCTCCAGGAGGATCTAGGGTAAGGGGAAGTTGCCAGAGTTAGTTTGTTTCGCATTCATTAGTTCTTCATGCAAAGCCCTATCAGTATAAGTGCCAAGGCAAATGCTTTCACCTACCTGCATATCTCCTCTGTTATACACAGTGACTGCTGCAAAGTTCCACCTATCGCCCTTATTTCCTCTCTCTGACCAGACCAGACGTGGTGCTGCATCCTCAGTGACATAAACCGTCAGTGCCATCGTACGAGCCACTCCGTACATGTGATACCAGAAGCGGAAACAATGGGGTCCATTGGCACTGCACACAGGACTCTCCAAGTGAGTCACAGCTCCAGAGCCGGCCTCACTCCCTTGCAGGTAGATGAAGTAACCGTCTGAAACAAACAGTGTGTTACACAGCAATGTACACGCTACAGGACAAGGCAAACAATGACAACACTCCTAACCGCATAAACACCACAGGCAAATTGAGATCCTGAATGTAACACAAGCGATGTGGAATTCTGTTTCCAACGGGTCTGCGGAAAGCACACACAACTCCACGAGAGACTCCAAACAGTGCTCTCAGCTACAGTGGAAGCCCGCTATAACGCGATCATTGGGGTCCAAAAAATTCAATCGCGGTAAATGCGGGGTCGCGTTATAGCGGGGTTCCACTGTACTTGTGTTCAGTTTGCAGCAGAGTGTGTGCCCTGGCTAGCGGGAGGGAGGGAGCAGGAGGAGAGAGAGAAGGGGGCAGCCCAGCAGGGCCGGCTTTAGGCCGATTCGCCCCGGCGGCGGTCGTCTTCGGGGGCCCCGCTCCCCTGGCCAGAGCGCCGGCTGGAGCGCGGCAAGCCCCGCAACCCCGCGACGCCCGCCGGAGCGCAACAGCCCTGCGCTCCTGGCCAAACCGCGGCAGCCCCACAGCCCCACGACTCCGGCCGGACCACTGGTTGGAGCGCGGCAGCCCCGCTCTCCCGGCCGGACCGCCGGCCTGAGCGCGGGAAGCCCCGCAGCCCCGCTCTCCCGGCCGGACCACCCACCACAGCCGCCGGGGTGGGCTGGAGCCGGCCCTGCCGGGGACAGAGGTGAGAACCCCAGGGGCCCGCCGGGGCTACAGGGAGAGTTGCTCCTGCTGCAGCTGCCGGGGTATTGATCCCAAACGCCCCGCACACGCCAGACTCACCCCGCGCCCGCTGCAGCCGCCGGGGCCAGACTCATCCCGCGTTATAACCGAATTTGCGTTACCGTGGGGCGCATTATAGTGGGGTTCCCCTGTATTTCCTTTCTATTTATTTAACCAGTCGTCTAGGTTTGTTGCTTTGCAGCCTACAGGGAGATATTTTTTCCTGTAAGAGCCGGTTTCTGCTAAAGAAATTATCCGCTCTCTTCCAACGAGGAAAGTTGTTAATTTTTTGTGATGTCATATTGACCCCACTGGGCTCTGGATCTGCCCCTAGAGGCCTGGACTCTGTATTTGACCCAAAGGCCCTTCCAGCCTGCTCCTGAATTGCTTTCCTGCCAGCCACGTTGTCAGACAACAGAGCTAGGTGGAGGCTGCAGTCCCTACCTCCTGTAGTGTGGTCGTACGAGGGTCCTGTGTTTGGCGAGGAGGTTGGCCCCCGGTGTCGTTTCCAGTCCAAGCTGTCAGAGACTGACTGGGTCCAGTCACAGAAGTCAGTGTCAAATGAACAGGACATGTTACAAAGAGCTGGGGGAACTGGAAAAGGAACAGAAGAAAGATGATATTTCCTGTGATGATCCCAAAAGAGGCTTCTCCTGTCTCCCAACGCTAGGTCCCGGAGCAGAAACGTGCTACACACCTGTCACAAAATTACTTAATTTGCAAATGCAAATGAGGATATTTTTGTAGTATTCTCTTTTACAAAACTGCCCTTTGTTTCACCAGAATGAAATCCATTAAAGATCACATTTCTAACAGAAACTTGCTACAGAACCCCAGGCTGGCAGCAAACTGAGCAGGCTGGTGGCGTAAGATCAGCATTTTAATTTAATTTTAAATGACACTTATTAAACATTTTGAAAACCTTGTTTACTTTACATACAATAGTTTAGTTATATATTATAGACTTATAGAAAGAGACCTTCTAAAAACGTTAAAATGTATTACCGGCACGCGAAACCTTAAATCAGAGTGAATAAATGAAGACTCGGCACACCACTTCTGAAAGGTTGCTGACTCCTGTTCTAGACAGTGTCAATGCTGATGATTATTACCAACTATCCTTGTCCATAAAAAGAGGAGCTCTGACATGTCTACTGCCCAATTGCTCACCACACAAGCAAGATTCAGCTGTATTCTTTTAAATCATCCCAGAATATTATCTTTTGTAAACATGTCTCCCATAAATCTCTTTATGAATGGAAATATCAAGAAAATAATATACGCCCCTAGAATGTGGTATGGTTTATTTCGATGAGATACATTCTAACAGCACCTCTTTACTTACCACACAATGTCTCTTTTCTCCAATCTCCCAGACTTACGCCTCTACCTTCACATGCCGCAGCATACGCGTCTAAGGATGAGCAAAACTGTTCGGTATTTCCTCCCGTGGCACACTGGTCATAGACGCAGCTCTCAAAGTACAGCTGAGGGGGGATATACCAATGGCAAGCTTCAAAAGGCCCTCCGCTTGCCAAAATAACTTTGCATAATTCTTCATATTCATACTCATGGACAGGGTTACAGGCTGGTGGTATAACGGCAACCGGGTCACAGCTGTGTTGAAAAGAGATAAGTGTCAACTCTGGTATGTGTTGAGCATTTCTGTTTCAGTATTCAGCAAGGGCTTGATTCTGCAAGGGGTTCCCTCAACTCCCGCTGAAGCTTATGTGCCCAATTCTGTGAGATGCTGAGCGCTCTCAACTAGATGTTGACTTCAGTGGAAGCTGAAGATGCTCATAATCTTGCAGGATCAGGGCAGATGGGCCAGATTCGCAGAGGTGAGAAGGGACCATTAGATAATCTAGTCTGACTTTCTGGACATTACAGGCCATAGAATTTCATCCAGTTACCCCAGCATTGATCCCAATAACTTGTGTTTGGCTGAAGTATATTGTCCAGAATGGCATCCAGGCTTGATCTGAAGGCATCAAGAGATGGAGAAAGACTGTCTAGCTATCTGGATCAATGCAGAATTTCCACAGACCTGGATTCTCTTTCATAGCCCGGGCTTAATTTGTAATGAAAGATGTGTCAGGACTCAAGCAATTAGGTCCTGGGGCTCAAGCAATTTCTTTTACTTTCGTAACTGATGCAGCAGGCCCAGAGGTGCCAGGATTACGAACTGCCAGGCCCAGAGGTGCCGGGCTACGAACTGCCAGGCCCAGAGGTTCCAGGGCTCTGAACTGCCAGGCCCAGAGGTGCCGAGGATCAGCCCTGGCAAGTCCCGGCACAAATTAAGCACTGCTCACACTGAAACATTCTCAAAGACCAAAAACAAAGGATGAAAAAAAATTCAAGTTCATGGTGTGGACTATGGAAATTAGTAAGTTAATATACAGGTAACATGGGCCCAGTTTTCAGTAACATGGGAGATTTCACACTGAAACCATCCAAAAACATTGGTTATGTCTACACTGCCTTTTAAAACCCCTGGGAGCGAGTCTCAGAGCCAAGGTCTACAGCCTGGGGCTTGTGGGGATCATGCTCCGATGCTACAAGCAGCAGTGTCGATGTTACAGCTTGGGCTGGACCTTTGGCTCTGAAGCCCCGGGAGCAGGGTGGGCTTCAGAGCCTGGCCTCCAGCCTGAGCTGCAATGTCTCTACTGTTGTTTTCAGTGGCGTAGTGCAGGCCTGAGGGTGTAGACCTGGACTCTAAGATTCGCTGCCGTGGGTTTCAAAATGCCCCAAGAGTTTTCAGCTGAGTTGCTGGGCTTCTTCAAAAATGAAAACGAAAGGAAACACAGTATGTGCAAATCTACATGATCCAAAATTGACCTCCATGACACAAAACCACTGGCTCTTCTAATGACAAGGTTTCCATGGAACACACATCTATACACGTATCTTGTATCTTGACCTTATTCCTTTTAAGGGTCAAGTGATTTGTCTGCACTTATAGGTGTCTCCAAGTACTTACGTCCAATTGTCATCCTTCACTCGCCAGCTGTTGCCAAAATTATTTGAATCCTGCTCCAGGACTCTGTCTGGTGTTAGGAAATCATCCAGCTGGTTGTCAGTGTATGTGCCACACAGGCCACACAGCTGCCCCTTAAACCTTTCATCAGCATGAACAAAAAGCTGTTGGTCACCATCAAACTTCACCTGAATGCCAATAGAGGTATCAATGACCACATAGGGTCCTCTTACAGCTACTGTCATTCCAGCATGCAGAGTCACAGGAAGATCAACTTGAATTCCATTCACCTAAAAATAAAGGAAATAGCACACTCAAATAGCTGAGTCAACAAAGCAATCGGTGACAAAGTCCGTGATATCTTCTGAGTATGTAAAAACTCGAGTGTTTATTTTGCAGAGGACCAGAGCTGCAAAATTCTGATCAGAACCAACTATAGATGGATCCTGATTTGGATCCATCTATAGTTCATTTTCTGATGTTCTACTGTTACCTCTCTAGTTGGCACATGTAATCTGTTAGTTATGTTAGAGTGAGAAAGACACTACTGGTTTTGTGAGAAAGCAAGGTGAGGCATTTACTCAAAACGGATCCTCTATGTAGCAGTGCTGAACAACATGGAGAGAGAAGTGGAAAGTTATCCTGGCCTCTGAAAAGTTATCCTGGGCTCTGCTTTACTTACAAACATGTGTGTGTGTCGTTTATTATTTGCAATACTGGAGGCAAATAACTCAGAGGACAGTGATTCAATATTGATGTAGTCAGAACAAAGGCAACTGTGATGACGTGTCCACCCCCACACAAGATTGGAAGGGGTTAAGATGGCCAGGCGTGCCAATTAACTCCACAGGTTGCACCTGGAGGGGGAGCCAGGGATCAGGGAAGTGATTGAAAGCAGGCTCAGCTGGGCAGGAACAGGCGGGGCTACAGCCCCTCCCTGTGAAGAGGGAGGAGAGGAGGCTGCAGTTCCTGGAGTGAGAGGGGTCCTAAGGATGAGAGGACAATGGGAGACACACTTCCAGAAGAGGGCGCAATGCCTGGCCAGAGCTAATTTCCAGAGCGGCCAGAAGGAGATGCCACTAGCGGAGAGAGCACCCTGTGACAGCAACCCACTGGTGTGTGTGTGTGTGTGTGTGTGTGTGTGTGTGTGTGTGTGTGTGTGTGTGTGTGTGTGTGTGTGTAGTAGTAAGTAAGTA